GATGGGGGAACAAAGGAAATAATTGTCACGACCTTAATAGCGGAAATCCTAATCCGTGAAGAGGAACAATGTGGAAATCACTCTGAGTGAAATATGATTGCGCTGGTTACACTTCAGTAATAATGACCATGCGCCACATGAACAAGAGAACTGAATATCACTCGGATTTCACAAAGAGTTGAGCTCACAAGTAAACTTAAAAAGTACCAGTCGTCACTAGAAAAGGGATCCCCCGCGCAAAAGTGAAGGGTGTTGTGGTCGTTAATATGACTACAGTTTTTTCGCTTGGTCTTTGGTAAAAGTAACTTAGTTTCCCATTCCAAATGTTTTCAGATGAATTCAGTTTGTTTTTTACGGTGAATTTTGCATTTTTTGGCCGCGGATTTTGTTTGCAAGATACGTGGTAACAATCGATATTTTACAAAACGCGGTCAAAAATGAAAAAACTAAACAGTTTGTTCGGTTCTAGGGCGTATAAAGAAGATTTCCTGCAAGTCTTGTTCAGTTTCACCGTTTGGTTTGCAAGTTCTCAGCGAAAAGGTGAATTCCCTTAGGACTTTTAACAAAGTAGGATCAGATCTGATCTCAGTGCATCTTTACAAAATTTCAGTAACAAGAACAAGAATGGCAGTATTTGCGGTTGCTGTGTTGCTGTTGGTGGTTGTGGGCTATCCAGATGCGTCATTTGGAAGATGTATCATCAAAGATGGCCACCTCCACTGCTCAGAGGCGTGCGATTTGGACGCGGTTTGTGCAGCTGAGTTTGACGGTAGAATCGTCCTGACGGGCCGGGTTCTTGATTTTGGATGCTTGGATTTTTTTGGCATCAAGGTTGGTTGACGAGGAAGTTGCTTCTTCAGATGATTCCTCCATTCCGTTGTGATTTTCAGAAAGTGGAGCTATGTATTGGGTCCCACTCAATGTGAGGGCATCTTCCGTGCTTTTTTGGTCGATCCTGTGGAGTTCTGTGTTAGCGAGCAGACCAAGGCAGGGTTGCCATCTTTCGGGACACAGTTGACTCCAGTGTTGGCGTCATTGATGGTGGTTCCTATGACAACGGCGGTGCCAACAACGACGACGGCTGTTTTGATGGCTCCGGCGACAGAGGCAACATCTGTCATCACCCGTGGCAATATCGTCGGCATATGGGATCCTGTTAGGACCTCATCTGCAGTTTTGCAAGTGCTGACGACGGACTTATTGACAGAAATGACAAAACATACTACCCCGGCTCCTGGTAAGGGCCTTTTAAATAGCATTAACCATTAGATTGGGATGCTAAATCAAGTCTGTTGTTTCTAGTTACAACCAAGCCTTCCATCATTGTGTCGGTGCTAAAAAATCTTCTGGAAACCAAGATCCTTACTGGAGATCGGGCTAACATCATGGTAACGGTGGTTGTGGGGAAAGCGGTTTTGGGGGCAGAATTTGCCACTGAACTATTTTCCAACTGGGCCATCGGGCTGATTAGTGGCCTTGGTATAACGGTCTTTGGGCTGGCTACTGGGTGGATTGCCTGGTGTTTAAGGAAAAAGGTACTTTTACTTTTTATTGCACCTTTGTTATCCATAAACACATTTTTTGCATGGTTTCTTCCTTTTAAACAACCGTTAACTACTAACAGTACTGCCCAAAACCTCATCAAAGCAAAACTGTGACTAAACCTGAACAAAAAGTCAAAGAAATTGAGATGAAAGATTTATCTCTTGGCCCAATAATAGTGCATGAAACTGCTGTTAATGAAATTCAGGATGGATTTGCAACCATTAGATCACGCATACCTAGCATGACATCATTCAAACCAAGTAAGACTTAGCTGGGAGGGAAAAAACCCTTTGTTGCATGATTGCATGTCTCCTTGGGTGTTTCTTTTTGCTTCTCTTCTCCAGCCTTGGTTGCTGCTGTTCCTGAGGAGGGCGGAGGAGCTATGGCGGATCCTGACACCACCAATGACTCCAACATTGTCTCCTTTACCACCGCAATTGTTGGCTGATGTGGTGTCTGACCTCATTTCATTGGACGCGGTTCCAGAGATTCTTCCACCTTCTATCCGTTTTCTTTCTGAGTTGGAACCTGTTGTTGAAGAAGCTCAAAATTCCGCAGTTAATGTCAGTTCTGATGACTTTTTTTCAGTCAATGAAGAATAGGCATGTAAACTGCTAGGAATCAATGAAATAAATGAGCTTTGTACAGAGAGAAATCTGATTTTGGAGTTCTGTCAACTTGTACTCAGGGAAAGGATTCCAGTAGACGGATTCATCCGGATTCTGGGGTATTTTGGTGCGGGTCAGGATGGGATAGATTCAGCAACCAATTTGACACACGCCGACATGTCATTTAAATCTATTGCTTCTAAACGCCTTCTTCTCTGTAAAACATACCGTATTCTCGCGAAACAAAAATATACAATTGCAATGAGAATGATTGTTAGTAAAATAATTAAAACAATGAGATAAATATAACCATTATCCCAAAAATCTAGTTGCAATTCACTAATGTCCTCAATAATTGACTTAATTCCTGGGACATTAGCCGGGATTTCATTAATTGCATTTATCTCAATGTTTTCTAACCTGGGGGTCATTTCATGAAATGGCCCATTAATCACAGTGTAACGACAATTAGGTCTAAATTGAATAATACCTTGTTGTCAGCTGGTTAAAACTGTGCTCTAACTTTCCTTTGCCCCTCGCCCCACTCATTAATGTGGATGGCCGCGCATGCGTGCGCAACTGAGTTTCCCTCGTTACCTGTCCTAATTGCATTTCTCCCCAGGCGGTCAACCGCCCCATAAATCTAACAAATACTGTGTTGAGGAATACGTGTGTGTCTCCTTTCTTTGTCTGGCTGGATGGTCATTGCTGAGCAATGACCCTGTACTGTCTGGTTTTGCTAGAGGTAATAAAAGGCCATGCAAGGCCCAGTAGAAAGCAGTGGTAAAGATACCCTCAGAGAGAGCTGTATACGCGTATATATTGGAGCTGAATAAATACTTGTAAGTCAAACTTGTGTGTGTTTATTGTCATAAAATTGTCTTGAATACTTAAAGTATTCGGTCCAGGATCCACCTGGAAAAAGAGGTTTGAACCTTGAATATAAAAATTGTCGGAAAATTTTGTGGTCATCCTCCTAAAGGTTCTCCTTACGAATTAATTTTTGTATTGTTGTCCTTTCTATTACAGGACTGAGTCAAGAATAAAAGAACCAAGTTCTTATTCTGGGTCAATATTCTTTATACAATATTCTCATCCACATACAGGCATTCAATACAACAATACAAATACACAAACACACAAGTCCAGCTTGTACTTTACTTCGAAATAGGTTTGAGCTTTAACAGAGCTTTGGCTATGGAGTTTACTGTATGAAGCTTGGATGAGATCTCTCTTTTGGTTTCACCAAGCAGGGGTATTTAAGCCTAGCCAGCCTAGATGGGGGGAACAAAGGAAATAATCATCACGACCTTAATAGCGGAAATCCCAATCCGTGAAAGGAACAATGTGGAAATCACTCTGAGTGAAATATGATTGCGCTGGTTACACTTCAGTAATAATGACCATGCGCCACATGAACAAGAGAACTGAATATCACTCGAATTTCACAAAGAGTTGAGCTCACCAGGGTTCCAGGANAGGAACAATGTGGAAATCACTCTGAGTGAAATATGATTGCGCTGGTTACACTTCAGTAATAATGACCATGCGCCACATGAACAAGAGAACTGAATATCACTCGGATTTCACAAAGAGTTGAGCTCACCAGGGTTCCAGGATTGATTGTACCATAATTACCTTATGGAAGGCTATTGTGACTAATCATGAGAAGTTGTCAAGACTTCTCATAAAGGAAGAGGAAGCAATTATCTATGCTTCCACAATTTCCGTTTCTAGGCTTTCTAAATGGTTTCTTCTGAAACTACCAAAAAGGGTACTATTGTGACTAATCATGAGAAGTTGTCAAGACTTCTCATAAAGGAAAAGGAAGCAATTATCTATGCTTCCACAATTTCCGTTTCTAGGCTTTCTAAATGGTTTCTTCTGAAACTACCAAAAAGGGTATTCTGTAAGTTAGTGTATTTCTAAGATAACAATACAGTAGTCCCATTTCCTACCTCCTTTATGCCCAGGAAACCCACAGCCCTGCAAAAGGACAATTTGACACAGATCACACAAGAGAACATGCTGCTCATGAAACCAAAACCAAGTCCAAGAGAAAGGTTCTAGAATTATTCTCAACAGTTTCGTGGATGTTCCATTTCTACTGCGTCAGACTCAGCCTTGTATTCTTCAAAAATGCCCATATTTCAAGTCCCTCATCATACTGTATTTCTTTACCCCATTGAGGCCTGTCTTCATCAAAGGCAGTGACTGAAAACATATGTTCAATTTCTACTGTGATGTAGTTTGCACTGTCTTTCAATGAAAGTTGCAGATGACAAAACCAATCAATAAAAAAGAAACCTGTCACTAATCCTGCTCATTTTCATTATTACATTTTTTTAAAAAATTTGGTGAATAAACATGAGCATGGCAGACATGAGGACTTTACTCCGAAGTGCAACCAGCACCAGTGCTGTATGTTAATCCAGAAATCACTGAAGAACTAATGTGTTAAAAAGTTTTGAGTACAATGTGAAATGCTGTACTCAAATGAGCTTTCTACATCACAGTATTGTTTACGTGGTCAGTAATTTTTCTCTTTCAAGGCTATCATACTGAACAGTAATATGCTCAATTTGTAATGCTGAGTTCATCAGTTTCTCAGATTTGCAAAATAAACTACCATCAGCATGACTGACAAATACAGAGAAAGTATAAAACCCTCAGAGGCGGGTAGATATATACATGGGTAGAATAAAATGTACCACCAGTATCAGAAGCAAGATAATAATGCATGTAAACAAAATCAATCTGATGAGGGACTAACTGCATAAAACATCAGCATTGTTCAACCTTCATGGGTTGGGACAACTCTTCCCCAGCAATCATCAAAAGGTATAATGCTGAAAAATACCATTCCTCTTCTAGAATGACCCACTCACAGTATGCATGCATAAGAACTTAAATTTTTTCTGCTCTTGTCTGTTGCTCCTTCGTCTGCACAAATGGCTCAAATTTATGAAATATTCTCCTAAAACAACGCGCTTGATCTCTTATCTAAAAAAAATTAATCAATTAAACTTTGATATTTCTCTACTGAAAGGCAGAATAGTGCAAGGACTGTTTACACATGGAAAGGGTGAAAAAGTCGAAATTGGACTCAGGGGGTGCTGAGGCAGAAGCTGGTTGCATCATGGTTGACATGAGTGAGAATGTGCAGGAATTTTACCAGGTCGCTGCCAGGTCAGATGCCCTCCGGGTTTTCTCTGCTCAACTTGACCCACTCCAGGGTCTGGTGTCGCTCAAGAACTTGCCGACTATCCGGGACTTTCGCGTGCCAAAGAGCCGTGTTGAGAAGGATGCAGAGCAGTCAACCAAGGTAAATTTTTGAAATCAACAACATATCTTTAAAGCATTAATTTTGCAATTAATCGTAAAAATGAAGCGCAGTATAACATCTTGTCACAAGAAAGTCTCAGAGGCCAAATGAACACTTTTATAGTGAAGAAATTTTGCTGCAGAGAGACACAGAGAGAGAGAGAGAGACTCCACCTGTACTTGGAATTCTTAACAAGGGAATTTTTGGGTATAACAGGCGAGACTTGACGGAAATGAGGCGTATATGAAGCGTGACCTCGGTCGGGCCTTGGCCCTGTACAACGACAGCGTGCGTCTGGCCCCAGTGTCGACCTCAGATGACCAGCAACTGCTGTCCTTTGCCTTTGGCAACCGGTCTGCTGTCCTGCTCGACTCTGGACGCCACAAGGAGTGCGTAAATGACGTGGCCCGGGCCGTCCTGGCTGGCTACCCCAAGGACAGGTTCCCTCGCCTGCTGGCCCGACGGCGGGCCTGCATGGACACTCTCGCTGCCAACTCCATGGTCCAGCATGCCAAAAAGGCTGACGAAAACCATCACCACACTGCCAATAATGATGAAAATAATGACCACGACGACGAGGTTCCGTTAGAAGACATTGCTACTGAACAGTTATTTTCAGAATTGACTTCGACGCAATTTGCTCAACGGTACGATGAGTCGTCATCGCGCTTGCCAAAGTTGTCTGATGCACCTCATGCGGAGTTTTGGAACATATCGCGAGCTTTGCAATTTGCGCGGAGTGAGGAAAAGGGACGACATCTGTTAGCTGCTCGAGACATTGCACCAGGTGCGTTTGTTGTCCTTTGAAAGCCAGCATCAGGATGCTATGTTGCCATGTGTGCATTGAGCAATGAATTCTCTCGCATTTTTGCATGTGATATAGGATGGATTGCAAAAAGAGTATTTGAATTGCCAATGAATATTGTGTATAAGTCCAACAGCAGTAGTCATCATTGTCAAACATGGAAGAAAAGAAAACAACTTGACCCGATTTATCCATCATCATTTTATGCACTGTGTGGAACTTGAAAAAACCAGATAAAAATTTCGAGTTAGGTATGGGTTTGTTGAAGTGTAAATTTGTCCCAGGGGGAACAAAGAGGAATCAATGGTAATTGAAATAAGTGATATTATGGGCTATGAAGTGCTTTTCAAATGAAGTGACAGGATGCTGAGCTGGAGACAAGGCTTCTTTTGCCCAATTATGGCCTTGCAATTCCTTCCAAAACACATTCAGTCACATTTCTATTGCTCTTCTATTCCTTGTGTCAATAAAATAATAGCCAAAAGGCCTCCATAATTTTGTGTTATGGAGGTTTTAGGATGAAAACTTGTTGATTTTTAGAGGTTCTCATCATTCATTGTTTCTAATGCAATTTGTAGATGCACTTGGCATAGGTGGATACTGCACTTGAATTGAGGAGGTTGAACTTATTGAGGTTCAACTGCATACCCATAAAAAAATGCTTTACCTTGCAATAGTTACCCATACAAGGGGCATCTATAATGTTGCACTGTATAGAAAAACTATGAAGCAATTGCTGAGGGTTCACATTGGACCAAGTACAGAACAGACCGGGTGTGAACTCTTCCTATTATTGCACACATACGACGTTTTTAACGGAAGTTCTTGGAGTTGGCCACAAACCTTCATTGCTGGGGGCAGACGTAAAAATTTTTTTTATTCCCCATTCTTTCCTGGCCTAGAACAATTCCTTTTTTCATCCCAAGACAAAAAGTGGATACGCCAACATAAATAAGGATGAGTCGTATCCATTGCTGTGCCCACCCATGACAAAAGAGCAGTTGCACACATTCATGCTCTACAACTTCCGGTGTGGGTTGAAAGCCATTGAGTCATTTGAAGGTATGAAAAAAGGTTTAGGCAGTGATACCCATCCTTCTTGATTGTGGCCAAGTGGTTTTCTCAATTTTTATGCAGGAAGTTTTCAATCCATTTCAAGGGGTTTGCGGGAGAAGCTGGGCTACACAACAAAAAAATCTTCAAGATGGGTGCTGTATCTTTCGAGTGAAGAGCAGAAAACTGCCAGAGTGAAATTTGCAAAATATTCTCTTGAATGCCTCTTCCTTGAATGATATTTTTCCTTTTGTGCCTCCCAAAAGTTTTTGAATCAATCCTTAGATTGAGGCCGGCCTCAGAAGGAACTGAGGCATTCTTTTTTGCATCATGACAACGCCTGCCCACACTGCTTGGAAAACTCTGGTTGCAAATTTGTTTTGCGTTTCCATTTTTGTCTGAGGATGAAAAAATTGGCCAGAAAAGAATGAGGAAACCAATAAAAAATTAAAGTCCACCTCCACTGAAGGCTTGTGGCCAACTCCGAGAACTTTTGTTGCAACCCTTAGTACATACAAGCAATTTTAGTTCTTGGACTGCTTGCTGGATGCTGTCTTCTGGTCTCCTTTTTTTGTTATTGGATCCTCCTGCAAAAAACATTGCAATGTGACCTTTTCTGCGTGAAAAGAGGTATCCCTACTGCATGCCTCTGAAACGTATTTGTTGTTTTAGGTGAAATCCTCATTGTGGAGCCCCCTTACAGTGCAGTCTTGGATGGGCGGTTCTGGAAGAGTCATTGCCAACATTGCATGGAGAGAACCTCTGTTGTCATCCCATGCCAGACCTGTGCATCAGTATGTGAGATCTGAGATTAGCCAATATGCATAATAAGACAAGAGTGATTTGTAAAAAGAACCATATAATCTTTTCAGAAAAATATAAGTGAACTTGATTTATTTTATAACAACATTTTTTCCAGGTCCCAGTCAATATAGAGTACAGATGTCAAAACATCATCTTCATACCAAACTTCCAAATTCTGGTAAAAAAAAAAACCTTATTTAGAAATGTTTAACTGATTCTCCAGGTTGAATTTCCGGACTAAGACAGGCACTGTCTAAAATTTCTGATGATCCCAAGAAATCACTAGTTGCTGTAATCAAAGACAAACATGCTTCCAAGTAATTCCACACAACATCCTCCCTCAATTAATGGTACAACTGTTGGAATGCTTCATCATACCAGTTTCTGCTCAAGATTCCTCATTTTTCAAACAATAGTACAAAATCAGATTTCCAAAAAAATGTTCCAATAGATTATATGCAGGTCTATGTTTACCAGTCATTAATTTTTAAATTACCAGTGGAACAAATTCTTCAGTAAAGTACTCACTTTCTGAGTCCCCTATAAGTTTGCTGTAACAAGATTGTATTGTGTAATGCAATACTAATACTGCAGAATATATTAATACTTTTGTTACAGCAAATACCATTAACGCAAATGTAGATAAAAAAAAATAATAATCAGACCAGCAGAACTCAAGTTAATTGGAATGCAGGACTTGTTTGGAGTATGGATGCTTGAGAAACTCAACTGATGGTTAACAACTGTATGCTTTTGGGAGCATCCACCCTTGAAAATGGGTGCATGAATTGATTACAAAAACTTGAAAGTCCATAAAACCTGCTGGATTTTACCTGTTATTTGGAGTAGATCTTTGTCTATTGACATTTCAACTTATTTTCAAAGATCAGCTTTTCTAGCATAAAAACATCTGAAAAGTGCACAAAAGGAAGATCTCGAATATATTTAGGTTTAACTTTATTGGAACAATCTTTGCAGTCAATAATTATGAAAATCATTTTATAAAAAATAATTAATTTAACAAACTTTTTCTGAAGTTCCCACAAGGTTCTTGTAACCTGTTCCTACTGCATATCCCTTCAGGTGGTATTTTGCTCTGAAGAATGCAGGAACCTTGCCAGTCGCTACCACCAACTTGAGTGCCCCATTATTGGGAACCTTGCTGACTCAAGCCTGTGCATTCGCCTGGATGCACTGCGCATGGTCACCAAACACCCACTGCCAGTGCTGCAGGGCATGAGACCCACTCTGCGGGTCCTGCTGGCACAACAAGCATCTGGCCTTCTGCCATCATCAGTAGCAGCAGAAAATGATGGGGCACAAGGAGACACTGATGTCAACTGCTGTGGTGTCATGGCGCAGGATGTATTGCCAAATACCCCGGGATCAGAAGATGACATCCTCAACAACTTTTCGCTGTTGACCCACTTGCATGACCGGAACAAGGACCAGTTTTACGAGTATGCCTTGTCTGCAGTTTACATGTTCAAGGCCCTGGAGGAGACTGCCTATTTTGATGGTTATTATCATTCTGCTGCTGCTGCTGGGGAAAATCAGGAAGAGGATGACAAGGACCTTGTCCTCCAGCTGCTCTTTCTTGCCTGTCTGATTAGGTCCACCAACAGCTTCACCATTGTGGAGGACAAACTCAAACTGCCTGACTTGTGGGACTCAGACAGAGTCAGGCTTGGAGCAGGTCTGAGATTTAATCTGAAAAGATAAGGAGTAGTGATGCACAACTCAAAAGTGGCTAAGGGTCATATTGGACAGTTCTAGCAGGCCACTAAATTGACAATTATATCCTTTCAGAGTGGAAGTTTCAAATTCAATTCAGTGCTATGCATTTAATCACAAGCATAATTATATAACATTCTTGCAAGCTGGAGAAAACCCAAAAATTTCAATTCCATTTTTCAACCCAGGAAAATCCTGCTACAACACACTTTTGGGGACTTCAGAAAATTGTTGTTATGCAGTATAATTTTTATAATGAGATTTTAAAAATGATGACTGGAGACATTTTCAAGTCAGACCCTTCTGTAATCAACCAGATCTTGTTTTTCTGTCATTCTTGGATACCTTCTTATTATTTGAAATACTGACTGATCCTTTTAAAAAAAGCTTGCGATCATGATGCAATCCATCAGTTTCATCAATAAGCTGTTCATTCTGGGAGGGTGTTGTGTGGAGCCACTTGTGACTTTGTAAGCATGTCTGTCATTGATTTGAGCTTCCATCATGCTACAAGAACCAGTCAGTCACATTTTAGATCAGATATTTCAGACTGTGCCTGTCTCATTCTGGGAATTTTTACCTCAAAATTTTTTTACACTTCCTTGATATAATTTTCCTGTACTGCAATTGAGAAGTTTGCTATGACAAGATTGTTTTAACATGTACTCACATGGACTTTCTGTATGAACATGAGACAATGTGTGTTATACTAAAAAAAAAGTTTTACAGTACATTATCAGTATTTGTTTTAAAAAGATTACACTGTGAAAGATGGTGCCCCAAAATTCGACCCTAATCTGTTGCTTTAATATGGCTGAATTTCAAAGTGCTGGTCAAAATGCAAGATGAAGTCAAATGTCACATTTTATGCATGGCATTTGACATTTGATCTCTCCGCACATAAAATTGCATGTGACAGAGGTCAAATTGCAAGTCAAACTACCAGCAAAATTGACCATCAAATTTCAGGATGGTCAAATTGCATGAGGTTGAATTGTGAGGTACCACTGGCTTAGATTTCATCTTGAAAATAGTAGGAAAGGGACCATAGTACAGATGAAAATTCTCTTCTGCTGGCTGAATCTGACCCAGAATGTGCCATATGTTGGTTAGCACTGCAAAACAGGATTCACTTTGCAATCATGTGACCATCCATCCATTTCCTATGTTTTTTTTTACTGCTGTTCCCAGGCTTGTTCCCTATGGGATCTTATTTGAACCACTCCTGTGACCCAAACACCACCAGAGACTTTGCCCATGGCTGCCTCATCGTCGCCGCCAGTTGTCCCATTCGTCGCGGTGAAGAGGTCACAGCCCTGTACTACAAGACATTTCAAGACTCACCTCGGACCCAGAGACAAGAGTACCTCAAGTCCATGTACTTGTTTGACTGCTACTGTGACCCGTGTGTCAATGGCTGGCCAACTGGCCCAGAGATGAAGCGAAACCCACCGTCGTCACTGGGCTACAGAATATCTTGTCCTCGCTGTTTCAAGGTGACTTATTGAGCCCGAACAAGAAAAATCAGTATGCATTCTCTATAAATATGTTGAAGTTCCAACAGTTGATGATACTGAAAGATTTTCTCATTTCTTCATCTCATCGCTACCAATTTTGTATACTGTACAGTTAAATCTTTTTACAAAAAACTCCTAAGGGATCTTATATAAACTGTTATAATGAAAAATGTCTTCTATGGCGATCAATTGTTTCAACTTGTTCTTGACTGACATTTTGTGCGAAATGGGTAATGAATGCTGTGTGAAGTGTGCTTCAAAACTGGGACGTATGCACCATCTGTACTTCTCAAGTACAGTGCTGTATCTCTGAAGATAAATGAAGAGGTATAGCTAGGATTAAATAGTACTTCCCTTTCATTAAACCAGCCCTTATGTTGAAGTGCCATGTGTCTTAAAACACAAAATGAATTCAAGTTCTGTACATGTCGGACGAGTGCTGTACTGTACTTCCTTCTTAATCAAGCTTATTTGCTTGCTTTACAAATCAGAAAATTCATAAGACAAAAATCATTTTCAGAACTTTTTAAAACTTGCTATTCATGCTAAAAATTTTGTTTACAGTAAAAAGGTAAAAAAAATTGCAATGGAAATCTTATTAATTTTTTAGAACTTTTGTCATATACTTTACAAGAGGGTATCCCTATATACAGTATACAGTCCATTCAATAAGGGCATTTCATTTTTCCATGGGGGTGGCATTATTCAGGTGCAAAGGGTGGGCGACCCCCTGACCCTGTCCAAGTGCCAGGCTTGTCAAGCCAGTTTGGAGCCATATTCTGACAAGCTGACAAGTTCCTGGACTGCAGTTCTCAAGGTATTTGGCCAAATGGAGAGAGGCGACACAAATATTGCCATTAGTTCTCCACACGTCATGGCAGAGTATATGAGAGCCAGTTACCTATTGGTGTTGCCCCCTGATCCAGACTTCTACTTTGCCAAGGGCCTGTTTTGCAGGAGTCTCAGGATCATCCGTGGATTGAAGCATTTGCCCCCTTCTGATGATTCATGAGCTTTCTTCAATAACTTCTTTCCACATATTTCTCTAATTTTAGTATACCTCACAATAATAAAAGGTTCTCTCCGATATCTTGGATGACCTTCATGGAAAAGTGTTAGCCCCATGCGATTTCTCCTGGAAATTTCGCTTTAAAAGGTGCTCACTAACTGTTGAATGTTGTGCATTTTTGTGTGAAAATGGCGCCAATGAAATAATTCAAGCATTTGTTGTACTGCTGTGATGTCTATTTTCATTTTTATTTTTGAATGGATGTGTGTGACGGGGAGGGGGGAAAGGAACACCTGTTTTGAATCTTTTGAACACTGAATAGTCGAAAATGAAGCATATTGATCTTCCTAGCATATATATTACAATGCTTTTAAAACAAGCAATTGGGTCTGAAGGAATTATGAAATCTCATTCAAAAAGAGGTTAATTATGTATTTTGTGGTATGCCTGCTGATATATGATATTCCCGGGGTTGAAAGTTATTTGCTGATACAGTAGCAAGTAGGTTTAGATATTCTAAGAGAATGAATGAAGCACTGCAGAAAGCTTGTAACATTTACAGAAATTTTCCAACCTTTGCAAAAAGGAAGGTGAATGCGTCACCATCTTCCGAATTGCATATTTCTCAAAATGAATTATTCCTTTGAAGACAAATTCATGAAGCATGCAGACTGAGGGAAAATTCAGGAGGTAATTCAAATTGGTTCAATTAGAATAAATTTGAAATGACGTATTTTTTTAGTTTTTGTGAATTTTTGTGTACAGTAGCTTGGATTTGTTTAAAACACTTACAATTAAAATTAATCCTTCGCTTCATCATCTGGAAAATGTCAGAAAAATTTCCGGATTTCAAGCCATTTTCCGGATGTTGTGCTGATTTTTTTTGGGTTTGAAGTTTCCCTCAGTCAAATCGTCCGTATGTCGGGGTGTCCGAAAACCCGGGTCTCACAACTTTAAATCTCATCCTGGGAGCAGCAGGTTTGTCAGGTCGCGGCCTGGGTTGAGCACGTCTCCCATCATTCAACAGGTCCTCCACCTCATGCGCACCCATCCTTACATTCAATCATTCAACTTCCCCACCTTACACTTCATCTTCCTTTGGCAATAGTCCCACTACTGAGAAAGTGGGGGGTAAACCACTATATGCTGACGGTAAGCGACTATACCAGGGGTTGTGGGTTTTCTCTGTGTGCGACCTTTGGCATGTATACAGGGTGCTTGCCATGATTTTCGCATGATAATAGTGAAGATGTACAGTACAGTGTGAGACCCTTGGGTGCATGCGGAAATATAATTTGTGCTTGCATTTTATTTCTATTGTGGAATACTGTGTGCATGACAGATCACATTTTTCTCAAGATTTCACTGGGAATATATTCAACCCATTAAAAAACATAGAGTTCCTGGCTTTCCTGTGGCAAAGTTGGGATATTTTTTAGAGTGGCACATTTCAGTTTGACCAAAGGTCACTGAAATGTGCCCAAGTTGGGAAGGTCCAAGTCAGGAAAAATTTGGAAAGTGTGAATCCTTTTGTATTGCAAAATCTGTAATGTAAATCCTATTGGCATAGAAATCCTGAAAAAAGTCACACAGTGGAGGAATTCTTTTATTTTTAAGCAAATTTCTCTGCAGGATAAAATTAAGTAAACTTTCCAGATTATGTCGAATCTGATCATTATGTTAAATCTGTGCATATTTAACATAATGGTATTCGAAATTGAATTTTCACCAAGATGAAATGTCCGCATGTCAAGGCCCCTCTGCATTTTTTGACACAAAGACTTTAACTCCAGAATTCAGGCAGACTCCGACTGTCCAAATGTGTAAACTAGCACTTGATCATAATACACTAAATACAGTAAGATTATATTCATCACTGAGAAATTCTGGCAAATTTTCAGAGTGCGAAAAAAAGGCTTCCTTAACAACAGCCTAACAAATTTGAAACATTTAAAATAAAGCCATGGGACTTTTTTCTGAAATTGTTTCTTCTCATCCAAGGATTTTTTTAAAGGAACACCCTGTATGCCTTTCAGCTGCGTTATTGGCTCATTGCTTTTCTCCACACACTTCTCAGCACTTATTTTCGTGTTGAAGGTTGGAGAGGGAGTTCAGTGAGGAAAGAACCTGGCATGCTTTTCTTGTTGCTCTTTCCTTGAAATATTTTCCTGACCTATAAATGCACCCGCAGGTGTGTGAAAGGAATGCGACAGTGAGGGACAGCCAGGAAATCAGGTTCCTTCTCTGCAAACCGACTTCCAGAGAGAGTTGTGAAGCTGAGCCGTCAGTAGAAAACATCACCAGTGTGGAAGGCTCTCATGGGTGTGCCACAAGCTGTGCAAATCCTTCTGAAGACTGTTCCTTTTTTAGAAAAAAAAACAGTTGCACATACTCAATCGAATGTGAAAGTGATCCATTCTTCATAGTGTTCCAGAATAAGCACAGCTACCAATTTCTACTGAAATAAACAGGACACACAGGTATCTTCTGTTTTGGTGACTAGCTTATAAAATTGGGATCCCAAGATATATGATGGACAGAATTTGTGCATGGACCTGGTCTTCAAGTGGGAACATTTGCCTGTGGTACCTGTTATGCTTCAATTGGAATATTTTCAATTTGTTCTCCTGTAATTCAACATATAAGAAAAAAATCCTTCAAACATAAAATGAAATAATTTTTTCCACATCAAGATAAAAAAGTAAATGTAAAGATGACTACCCAGAATCTTACTTTTGATGGGCATCAATTGAGCAGCTCCAAAGCAAAGATCTTGAACAAATCTTACTATACTTAACACATCTCATGGAAAAACCTGAAAGAAGAAGCACAAAATTAGCGTTGTTTTTATTATAAACTAGGTTAATTTTATAGGTAAATTTATTTGTAGGCTTTGTGAATGTGATGAGCTCAATGTCTTCAAAATATAGAAAATCGATAAAAATTAAAATTTGTAATTCTCTCGAAAATCTTGGAAAAGTGCCCATATTAGCTTGAGTTTGAGTCACTGCTGGATGTTGGTGTAGATTTTTCAGGCCTATGAAACCTTTGTGTGGAAAAATAGCAGAAAATAGTACTGGAGAATACAGTACTGTGGCATGCTGAGTGAAAATGGTGAACAAGTATAGGTTTATGTGCATCAAAATTCATAAAATGTATCAGCATTATAAAAAGCAAGGGATAAACTGTGGATCCAATGCACAATGATTCAGACTCTAATCCAAGAGAACAAAACTGATCTTTCCACAGGTTTGTGCGGTGTTACCTCAGAGAAGAGGAATACAATTTTGTGATTTGATCTTCAGTCCCACAACAAAAGCAGCACAAAATGGTAAGTAGGATGACCCCTTATGGGCATCAAATTCACAATTCCGAGATACAAACATTGATTTAACTCTCTCTCTCTCTCTCTTCATGTATGTGTCAAATTGGGAAACATCAGGATGATGAGCAGATTCAGAGTAAGTCTTGTCAATTCATCAGACTTAATGAATCAAGGAATGATCAATGGACTTTTTGTACCCACAGTGTTGAAGAAGACTTTTGCCATGTTTGACAGTGGAAAAACTGGTCAAATTGACATGGACAAGATCAAGACAATTCTGAATACCCTTGGTCAGAACTTCGATGAGGATGAACTGGCAGCTTTGTGTGAAGAGAATGACACAGAAGGTGAGTTCACTTCTTTATATTGTATATTAGCAAGGTTTGAAATCTTTGCACAGTTCCCATATATTATTCAATAATGCATATTTCCTATGTATAAATAATACAGCCACTGGGAAATGCAACTTTGAATCCTTTTCCTTAATTGTTGGACACTTCCTGGAGGAAGAGGATGCAGAAGCAATGCAACAAGAACTGAAGGAAGCTTTTCGTCTGTATGATAAAGAAGGTAAGGGTGGGATTTTTTCCCGAAATCCAGCGCAACAAATCTTGTTGCAACGAATTTTCCCATGGTTCTGGCAATTCCCAATAACAGGCATACTGTTATGAAAATCTTGCTCCAACAAACTCATTTCATGCTCTATGATATCATTAAAGAAGGGGTTGCTGGTAATGCTTCTCTGAAGATTCCATTATTGAGATCATTTGATAATTGGCAGAAAACTTTGAAAAATTTGAAAGGTGCTGTGTATTCCATCTTCATCAAAGAAGAGAACTTTCTGCAGAGGAGCTTTGGTGTTAAAAAAATACAGTATACTCAATGAAATATTCTTAGAAGTTTTCTAGTTCCCTTTTGTAATGTAGAGTATGTGCTTTTCATAGAACTGAACATTACAGTATGTTAGAAAAATGTGGCTCCATTGAAAGAGGAGACAGCAATGAGTGAAGGTGTTGATTCAGAACAAGGAAACACAGTATTTCTTCAATCGATAATTTTGTTTGATTTTATCTTCTGAGCAAGCAACAGTTGATTATAAAGTCAGGTTTAATGAAAGGAAAGTACTGTTTATTTTGGAAATTTGCTCATTATTTCATCAGAAGTACTTATTAATTATGATAGATTGTATGCTATCTGATTTGGAAACATTTTGAAGTATTTATTCCACATTTGTCAGAGAAGGTCAGTTCAAAATGTGTTAAAACAATGAATACAGCGCATTTTTGTTACAACACTTTTTATCAGGTCCCTGAGAGTTTTTTGGGATGCAATTTCACGTCATTTCATTTTAATTTTTCTCGTATTGGGAACTCAGTCAACTTGTTCTAAGCTACAAAACTGGTTAATATAAGTTCAGTATGACAATGGGAAAGTAATACAATGTACAGTAATTAAATTAAACAGTTTGGCTGTTTGGGCAGAGTACAGGGGTAGGCAAGCACTATGTCTTTCGCATCATTTTTTATTCATATAAATCATGAACCCTTATAGACTTTTATATAAGAATTCACAACTTTTTCCAAGAGCAAAGAATTGATTTTTTTGGCATTGAAATTCTTTTTTTTTCATCAAACCTCTCTACTGTATATGATAACTTTTGAGGATTATCCCATTGGAGGCAATTTATTGAACTTGCAATCCACATGTTCTGAACACAAAGGTGAAACCTATTTCCAAAATTATTCTCAATGTGGGATATATCATCATGAATTTGTTGAAAGGTGTGTGGATGGCAGGTTCAAAAACTTGCATCCAAGGGGGTTATTCTCAAACAAAAAAGTCTTTGTCAATCAAGTTTGCTTTGAGCATAACCCCTTTTGGGAGCAATTCTTAATCTACAATCCACACTTTCTGGAAAAAATCAAGTTGAAGACTGTTTTTGAAAGTGGGCATCTTCTACATTTTTTTCTTAGAAAATCTGCAGCATGACAAGAAATATTTGAAGGAAAAGTTATTTCTATTGACAGCACTGCTGGGCACAAAATATTTTAGAACAATCATAGATGTGTATTGCATGTAGATTGAGGTAATTTTTTCGGAAACCCAGTTTTGGACCAAGAAATATCCCAACTCGATTTTGAAGCAAGGACAAAGTTAGGTCAACCGATCGTGATAATGTTTTTTATTTGCAAGAATTATCTTTGCAACCCAAAAAATATATCTTGAAAAAATGAGTGGTCTAGAGAAGATTTATTAGACAAAGAGTCAGGTGTTCAATTACTGTACTGTATTTTAGATCCGTAAATTCGGTTTTGATCTTGGTAATGATTTTTCTCAATCTTGAAGTTCTTCAACGTACACATTTGAATGATTCTTTGCATATTTTCAGGCAATGGCTACATCACGACTGCTGTCCTTCGTGAAATCCTCAGTGTTCTGGATGATAAGCTCACCCCTGATCAACTTGATGAAATGATTGATGAAATTGACACTGATGGTTCTGGGACTGTTGATTTTGAAGGTCAGTTGAAGATTCTGGGCAGATTTGTGTCATATTGACAATAATTCTATAAGACTGGATTGAAATGCCATTACAGAATTCATGGAGATGATGACTGGAGAATGAACATCCCACCTGACTTTGCTGTATTCTTGCCTACATTTGTGGATACAGAAGATTAATACATGCGACAATGATTTTTGTAGATGTTGTAGCAGTGGTTGTATTCATTTGGAACAATTGTGTTCCCCCTGCATGAGTTGCAAAATGGAAAAAAAACACCAACAAGATTATGGGCACCAAAACAAACTGGGAACTTTCCTTTCATTTCTGCAACAAAAATCACACTAGATAATCCAGTCTAAATGAAATGTACTTTAGTTTCTGAAGAAGATTATCTTCTGTATATAGACTCTGCCATGTGTCTTCTGCTTCAGATTATTGCACATTTCTTTGTTCGGGTTCAGATTCAGATTATGCCCGCGATGCTACCTTTTTTTCCGGAAAATCTCGACTTCAAACTTTTCATAACTTGCTGATTTGGGACTGCTGGAGGTTCAGCAATAAGAACCCCCTATGAATCTGTAAATTACACAGTCTTTTTGATAAACGCATGTAGCATATTCACCAGCACACCTTCTCCATTGATATACTGTATACACAGACACTTCCATTTAAATCTTAAATTTGTGTCAAAATAAAAATATTTGCCATATATGCCTGAAATGTACCCGGAACTTTGAGTAAAAAAAATTTGACTTTGAGTCGCAATTCCCCAGAGATCCGTGACATGCAATGATAAAAACACAAAATGACCTTGAAAGCACAGTACTGTACACTCTTCAAAGTTTATATGCAAGCATGATCATCTTTTTTGCTCTTCTGAAATCGCATTTTGTACAAGTGCTCCTATATGAAGATCTTAATGCGCCACTTCAGATAACCGCAAGGAACAACTCAAGAATTTTTCTGACGTGATATACTTTAATAAAAACTAACCTAAACTGAACTATTTTTAGAACTAGGTGAGGTGAAGTAAAGTAGAATCACATTTGATGGATAGATGGCAACAGCGATAAAACACGGCGTTCTTCGGGGATGGGGTGCTTAAGCATTAGGTTGGAATACTGGTTCTGCATTGTACTGTACATTTATTGAGTGCATGTGGAATACAACGGTGGAAGGTAAAATGAGGCAGCCACATAATCTGGACCGGGGTTATGCGGACGCCCCTCCCCCCGCACTGCCCTGCTGGCATTCTCCCTCCTGGATGCAAGTCTTTCCTTGGATGACATTTCCTTGTTCAAATGCTGATCAAGGGGATGCAGGTTCAGAGTCTCTCTCGGAAGATGCCAGAGGGAGCTTATAATCTGGAAGATGGATGAGGTTCTTGTAAATCCTGCACATTTTCATTGTTAGAGGGTGTTGTTGTCCTTTCTATTACAGGACTGAGTCAAGAATAAAAGAACCAAGTTCTTATTCTGGATCAATATTCTTTATACAATATTCTCATCCGCATACAAACATTCAATACAAATACACAAACACACAAGTCCAGCTTGTACTTTACTTCGAAATAGGTTTGAGCTTTAACAGAGCTTTGG